AGTGTCCATTCTTCACATTCTAGAAGAGTTTAATGATCCTCTCCCTGCTCAATAAAGCCCATTAAAAAGAAATCAACCACCAATGCTTACGAGACCCTACAGAATACTGCTGGTTAATTCTGCCCATACTCCAGGCTACCTCTTAATCTTTATTACATAAATACATCTGAAAGAGCTGAAGGGCTTCCTGATTGTGCTGTCCCTCCAGAAAGACCTTGTATTTGTAAGTGCACAGAGTCAGAGTCAGAACATCCTACCCATCCTATCGTATGTATATATGTATATATGCATGTATGTATATGTATATACTAGAACAGAAACAGTCATAGCCTATGTCGTTTTTCTAAAAATCTCATTAAAAATACTGGCAGAAAGTGATGAAAACCAGAGCAGCCTTGCTTGAGTTCACTGTTAAACCCACCTAACTTGGCCTCTAAGAAACACAGTATGAACAAGCACATAGGAATTGCTATAGTTAGATTGTTAGCAGGTACAACACAGATAGCAGGGTCCTAGGAGGAAACTGGGTTCATGCTGTCTCAATCCTGGGATACAGTGGGGGGAGTGGAGTGGCAATCATTCCTTTAAGAGAAAGATTCCAGTTTTCTGTTCTTATTACACAATATAAAAACCACTACTACTGGCGAGTAACTAAGTATCCAGGGGTTATGTAAGACACACAGGGGAATCAGTTTATCCTCGCAGAACACATCTGGCCCCTACATATGATTTAAAGGACCAAAATTATATTCCTTCTAAATAAAGCTAAGAGACCGCCAGCCCACCACCCACACCCCAGTAAGAACCACTGCAAATTTGTAAGCTCAGGTAGTCATATGTCCTAGAAACAAATTGTTTCTTTAATTTCTGTTAAAGATAAAATGCTGCCCTTTTGCTACAGTTCTTTAATCTCTAAAAAGCTGGTAATCTAAATTTCTCAAAAAAGGTCTAGACTGGTTATGGAGGTGCAGGCCTGGAACTCTAGTACTTGGAAGGCACAGGCAGGAGGATGAGGAGGAGCTCAGTCATCGTTAGCTTCACAGTGAGTTCGAGGAGATCAGGGATACATAAACCTGTCTCAAGAAAAAACAAAAAGCTGGTCAGGCAACAAAGGCCTTTGATCCAAACACTTGGGAGACACAAGGGCATCTCTGTTGAGTTAGAGGCCAGCCTGATCTCCTTAGTAAGTTCCAGACCAGCCAAGGCTACAAAGTGAGACCCTACCTGAAAATAAAAAGGGTACCAGCAGCATCTGATATGTCTTTGTCTCTTCCTAACCTACATGCAGCACAGCAAACAATGAGTAAGGATCCACTGCTTGATTCTGACCACACTCATGTTTGAAACTAACATCCCTGGGCTTGCACTTGGGAAAAGGGAAGTTCAAGGCTACATTTCCTACCAGAGAATCAGTGCTGTACCAGAACCAGTCTCCTCGAGCTCTGACAACTTGTCCCTCCCAAATTCCAAATTCCTGATTCAGTCCAGATCCCCACTCTTCCGGCCTACCAGGATTCTGTCTTTCTCTGACATTTCACCCTTGTTTCACAGTGCCAGCATAAAGCCTTAATTCACATTAATGAAGCTCCACCCCTTTCCCAGCTGTGCAATTAGCTAAATCACAAAATCTTTTTTGTCTCTGGCCCTATGTGTGAATCCTGGGATTTGGGGGGGAGGGGTTAAGTGGTGGAAATTATTTACTTGGGTAACATTTTGAGTGTATAGTTCATCATGTTGCCTGTGGCATGATGGCAGGGACTCATTCACATCTGGGCAGTTCAGGAGGCAGAGAAAAGGGATACTGGCATTCAGATGGCTTTTTCCAGAACCAGTCCATGGACCGGTACCACACACATTCAAGGTCTGTCTTCAGTTACATGTCTCTCACAGAGCTCCTGTCCTCCTACCTCTATGTGAGAATAGATATGTGCACATTCATCCGTACCTTACACAAGTGATTTGTGAAAGTGACTTTGCCCTCACTAGCCAAAAGTTCACAAAAGCTATCCCTAGTACAGATCTGTCATCCTCCCTTCTCTACCCCCCCCCCACACTCCCACAGTGAAGCTAGAGCCACGGGGGGTAGAGGCCAATGGAGGCCACAGGGAGCAGTGAGAACAGGGAAGTTCTCCCTTCCCAGAAGTCAGGAAACCACCCTGGGCTACCCTTTCCTGGCAACACGAAGCTGATGCAAGGATAGGAAGTAATTCAGCTATACAATAAAAAGCTTCTTCACAAAAGACAGAAATGAAGATAACTTTTTCTTTTGGTGATGAGGGACTGAGTCTCACCTTGCAGCATTGGAACTCATACTATGTAGACCAAGCTGGCCTTTAGCTCACAGAGATCCTCCTCCCTCTGTCTCCCCAGTATGGGGCTTAAAGATGAAGGCCTTCAGTATCACACTGCTCAAGAATGACTTTTTTTTAAAGTTCTAATGCACCCACAAAACCCAAGTCTGCCCTCTTGTTCTTAACCTTTCACACACAACTCTTCAGAATAATAGCCTTCATTCCTTCATCCACAGTTTATCCATTTCCCAGTTGTGCAGTTCATTCCTTTTGTCTCTGCCTCTGAAGCACTGGGATAAAAGGTCGTGTTAATGCTCCAGGCTATTGATGTGGGGTTCCAAATGTAGGTCCTCATTCTTGCACACCAAGCACTTTACCCACGAAGCCATCTCCCCAGCAATACAATTCATCTTAAAAACACTATTGGTTAATGACATCAGTAGAGCAAGTCTAGTTACCGACCAACAGCCAACTGCAACTACTCATAGCTCTCCTTTGTTCGGAGATCAGCATCAACTACTGTCTGGTCACATTAGCTCACAATGAAGAAGGAGATACTATTTCACAGCCAAGTTGTCCACACCCACAACAGGTCGGGGATGGCCAGAGTTTAATAGTCCTAGGATAAAGCAAAGACTCCAAGTCAAAGGCTTTTGAGAAAGTCTGTTTGCGCTGAATGCAGTCATTGCCTCAGGGCAAGGAGCAGCAGGTATTGCGTTCCTGTGGTGTAGTGAATCATGTTCAGGTCAACCAGAGACCAAGATGGAGAAGGAAGCCACTACTGTTTCCCTCAGGAGTGGGAGGTGAGGGTAAGGGGTGGAGACTGGCCCTGCTAAAAGCTGGTCTTTTTAGTTGTTGTTGTTGTTTAAGGTTTATTTATTTTATGTGTGATTGTTTCTCCTGAGCATACATGTATGCACTACGTCATGTCTGATGCTCAAAGAGGTCAAAAGACAGCACTGGATCCCATGAAACTAAAGCTGTGGATTACTCAAAGCCACAGTGTAAGTGCTAGGAACCCACCCTGGGTTTTCTCCTAGAGCAGCAAGTTTTTTTAACTCTATTTAATCAGCTTCTAATGACACCCTTATCACCAAACATTTGCTTTTTATTTATTTAATTTTTTTTTTTTTTTAACCAGATCTCTCTATATAAGTTAGACTGGCTTAAACATGAAATCCTCCAGCCTCAGACTGTTGAGTGCTTGCTAGGACTTCAGATGTGTAGCAAGATGGCCCAGTGAATGGCAATGACCCTTATCACTTATGAGAATCACCTTAGCAACGAGCAGGTGCTGTATCAAACAACCACAACTACCACCACCAAAACAAGCTACATATTCCCTGCCTAAAAGCATCCTTCCACATTCTATATGGCTAGAATTAGAAGCCTTTCTCCAGTATTAATTAATGGAAATGTAATGCAAATGACTATTTTCTAGTAGTCATATTAAAAAGAGCCAGGCGTTGGTGGTGCATGCCTTTAATCCCAGCAGTCGAGAGGCAGAAGCAGGAGGATCTCTGTGAGTTTGAGGCCAGCCTGGTTTATAGAGAGAATGCCAGTACAGGATCCAAAACAATACAGAAAAACCCTGTCTCAAAAAACCAAAAAAAAAAAAAAAAAAAAAAAAAAAAAACAGTTAAAAAGAAACAAGATTGATTTGATTTTAAAAAAAAAAAAAGTCCACTTAAAGCCCCATGTCCAGGTGCTATGGAATAATCTCTTTGGACACAGTGAAGATGTGTCACTCTGATTGGTTTAATCAAAAGCTTAATGGTCAAAAGCTTAATGGCCAAAAGCTAGGCAGAATTTCTAGGCACAGAGGATGCTGGGAAGAAGCAGGATGTAGTCTCCAGTCAGACATGGAAGAGGTGGGAAACAGTAAAGAGTAAAGGTAACAAAGCCATGAGGCAGAAAGTAAATAGCAGAAATGGGCTGATTTAAGTTATAAGAGCTAGTCAGAAGCAAGCCTAAGCTATCGGCCAAGCTTTCACAATAAGTGATCTGGGAGCTGTCTGGTAGAACAGAGAAAGACTCCCTACATCCAGGTTCAGCGGATAAAGGCACTTGTCGGCAATGCTGAAAACTTGAGGTCACCCACATGGTAGAAGAGAAGTTTCCCACAAGCTATCTTCTAACTGTCCCATGTGTGCCAACCCCCCCCCAACCTCCCACCCACACCCTTGCACAACACACACACACACACACACAACATCTGGTATTCTATCATTTAACATACACACACACACACATAAGTAAACAATATCTGATATTCTATCATTTAGTATGCAATTAGTGTTTTAAATATTAAAAAATATTTTATAAGCAGGGCATGATGGTGGCACATGCCTGTCATCCAGCACTTGGGTGGCAAATGGAGGATGGGGGGGGGGGTTCAAGGTCACCCTCGCCCTGGAATATATAAGACCTTATCTCAAAAACACTAAAAATTAAAAAAAAAATTAAATTAAAAAAAAACAATAATGAGAGAAAAAAAAGTTAAGTATTTTCCACATATAACTAGATGCTATTGGACAGAGGAGGTTCCATCATCTGCACATCTGATCTCCTTTCTTCCTTTAAAAACCTTACAGAAAAGCTTTGCATGGTCCCTGTAACAATGGGGGGAGGGGGTATATTCCCTATAGATGATGAAAAAGAAAGAAAAAAAAAAAACTAGTGGCTACATATGCATTGGAGTGCCGCTACCTTCTCAGCTCATTCATGACTTTAAAGGCTTTCTTCATGTGCCAGGGGTTCACCGTCACCGGGCAGTGTTTTTCGGTATTATCATCTTTTGAATCGAGAGGCTTCTGATGACCCTGCTTCGTGCATCTGTACAGAGAGAAGAGAACAAAAAGAAAAAGAGAGAGAGAGAGAGAAAGATCTCATTAAGGATAATTTAGTTCTGGCTTGTCAAGCTACAAGAGACAAATTGAATGCCCCCCTCCCTCCTCCCTCCTCCCTCCCCTGCTCAGTTAGAAAGAGAAAGCTGCCCTCAACTGAGAGTAATATACAATTCAGAGCGGTCACTATGGTTTCAACAAAAAGTGGGTAATTATCTCCCTGGTGTCAAAGATCTGTCAAATAGAAACAAGGAAGATTCAGAGGAAAAAACTTAACAGATCACCACAAACAAAAACAAGGCAAAATAATCTCTGTTGGAAATCAATTTGCTTTTACAACCAACTTATAGTGTGACTTATAGTCTCTCTCTCTCTCTCTCTCTCTCTCTCTCTCTCTCGCGCACACACACACACACACACACTAGTATGTGTATGGTATGTGCAGTTTGTTTGTTTACAAACTAATTTAGGAATATGGTTGTACTTCATGGAAACTTCAGACACAAAACCTGGTTCAAATTTGCTCTCTCTGCAAAGACCCTTAGCCCGTGTATTTTGGACATACACTAGAAAGATTAATCATGTTAACTAAAGTTTACTGAGTTCTCAACACCTGGCACCTTGTGTGCCTAATGGTATGATCTCACTAACTATAATCACCACAACAACTCTATATGCCAATTATCATTATTAGCCCATTTCACAGATGAAGAGACTGAGGTGGGGAGAAGGCTATGAGTGACAGAGTAAATAGTTGAGCACAGCCAACCTGAGCTGTCTCTCACGCTCACTACCACATCCTACATCCAAATATTTAAGTTCATGTTTAAATGTGTAATCAATCATTCTCTTTTAAGAAAAGTATTGTTTTATTTTATGGATACATATGTGCATCTGTGTGCTGGGGTGGAGGTGGGGGTTGTCCATGGAAGCAAGAAGAAAGCACTAGCTTTTCTGTAGCTAGAGCTACACACAGTTGTCAGTCACCAGATGTGGGGATCAGAAACCCAACTCCTCTGTAAGATCATCAAGTGCACTTACCTGCTGAGCCAACTCTCAGCCCCTATGTTTACAGTATTTAAGAAGCCAAGATTATGAGTGTTGTTATATTAATTGTCCTTTCTTCAAGATGTGTAGGCAAAAAAAAAAAAAAAAATAAAACCTGGCAAAATTTGGAATGTGGGATGAGAACTAAGAACTGCAAATTAAATGGACAAAAGGGAAAATTTTAAAGTGACAAATGCATAACTTGGGAAATTTCCTATGAAAATTGAATTGTATATATTTTATAGAATTTAAATTATACTTCAAAAAACTGGAGCTAGAGAGATAGCACAAAGCTTAAGAGTGCGTGTTGCTCTTGCAAAGGACCTGGGTTCACTTCTCAGTACCCACAGAGTGGTTCACAACCATTGTAACTTCAGTTCCAGGGGATCTAACACCCTCTTCCAATCTCATTCCTGGCACCAGGCATACATACGGTTCACATACACATATGCAAGTGAACACTCATACACACAAAGATAAAATAAATACATTTTTAAAAATCAAAGTACCACAGTAAGCCTACTGAAAACTGTATGCTGTGAATATATATTTCTCTTATTGGTTGATGAATAAAGTTGTTTCGGCTAATGGACAGGCAGGATTTAGCCAGGCAGGAAATCCAAATAGGGATAAAGAAAGGTAGTAGGCAGAGTCAGGGAGATGCCATGTAGCTGCCAAGGAAGCAAGAGGCTCAGGCATCACTGGTAAGCCAAGACCACGTGGAGATACACAGATTATAAAAATGGGTTAATAATTAAGAGAGAGCTAGCTAATAAGAAGCCTGAGTCCAGTAAGATGGCTCAGCAATTAAGAGCACTAACTTATTTTCCAGAGGACCAGGGTTAAATTCTAAGCACCCACATGGCAGCTAACAACTGTCTAATTCCAAGATCTGACACCCTCACACAGACATTCATGCAGGCAAAATACCAATGCACATAAAACAAAAATCAGTAATTAAAAAAAAAGAAGCCTGAGCAATTGGCCAAACAATTTGTAATTAATACAAGCCTCTCTGTGTTTATTTGGGACTAAAGAGCTGCGAGACTGGGCGAGAAACTCCCATCTACAGAAAACCATGTATGTGTTGCACAAAGAATAGCAGGAAGCATCCATTGGCATGACAGTGTTCTTCCCTTCCTGCCCTACCCCTAAAGGGCAGGCTCCTTTGTAAAAACTCTGTGTTATGCACTCATTCATGCAATCAACTTTTTTTTTGTTATGTGTACTTGTAAAACATCAATGAATAAAGCAAAGAGTCCTATCTCGGTAATAAGGATCAGGATAAACAAATAGGCCGAATAGATGTTTATTCAGGGAGAAATAACTTACAACCTAGACAGATGAAAACCAGGAAATTCAACCCGATCCTCCCCTGTCCGAGTCACGCCAGAAAGAGAGCGCCTTTTCTGGCCCCCTCCGACCTCCTTCCACAGGTCACTTCTGCCCATGGCTCCACCCCCCAATGGGCATGGTCAGTGCCACAGAAGGACTGTCTCACTACAGAGTCCTGCACTTGCAGTCTGTGGGGAGGGGACACAATAAGCCTGACAAATCAGAAAAGAGGATAGGTAGCATGTCACAAAGTGCTCAGGTAAAAGGTAATTTACCTGAAAAAAAGAGGAAGCAAGAAACATAGCATAGCAGCCAAGAAGGGGTGAATCTGCAGTATTAAAAAAAGAGTGCTCAAAGAAAATAACTGGGAATTGAGATCTGAACGAAGGCTGGGAGGTGAGAGGAGGTTCAGAAGGAAAGGCACCAGCAGAGAATGAGAGGAGGGCAGGCATGTGCCCTCTGACCCCTACAGCTAGGGGCTGAGAAGTATAACAAGGGCTTCAGCCTACATTTTCACTGCTAGATGAAGACAGTTGTGCTGGTTAGGTTTATGGTCAACTAGACACAACCTAGAGTCACCCAAGGAACTTCCAAGGAAGAACTGCCTCACTCAAGACTAGCCCGTGGCCATCTCTGTGAAAGACTGAATTGACGGATGGATGATGTGGAACCATCCCTAGGCAGGCAGCTAGGGCTCTAGAGGAAAGTTAGCTCAGCATGAGCCAGAGAGCAGCAAGCTAGTAGTATTGTTCCTCTGTGGTTTCTGCCTCATGTTCCTGCCTTGAGTCCTCACTCTGGCTTCTCCATGACAAATGGTTACCTGGAAATGCAGCTGAAATAAACCCCTTCCCCCCCCCCCAGGCTGCTTTTAGTCAGAGTGCTTTATCAGAGCAAAGGAAGCAAACTAGGGCAACAGTTCAGAGGTGTCAAGAATGAAAAGAGGAAAAAGATTTAGGAAAGCAGTAACCCTCTTAAAGGGTTATGGGGAGGTTGCCCCAATAAGAGAAGTGGCTGGATTCTGGTATGTTCAAGGAAGAGGCAATAAAATTTGTTTACAGAATGAATGAGTATGTCAACAAGCCAGAGTTACACCAATATACTTTAGTCTGAGCAAGGGAGAAGGACTAAATCTTCATTATTAGAAAGAGGAAGGCTACAGGTGGAATTAGTTCAGGGTCTAGGAAAATTTTCAGACAGGACATTACAGACGTGGGGACACAAAATCAACAGGAAAGTATCAGCGCCTAGAGTTGGAAAACAAAAGTCTAGTGGTGGACTGGTGAGATGGCTAACACATGGAGACATCTGCCAAGTCTGACAACCTAAATTTTATCCCCAGGACCCACATGGTAGAAAGAGAGAACCAACTCCCAAAAGTTGTGTAGTACACACACACACACACACACACACACACACACACACACGCACTCATGGTAATTTGTTTCGTTCGTTCGTTTGTTTGTTTTTTAATTTAGATGGTGACAGAATTCTGAGAATCACTGGTTCTATAAACAAAGCCAAGAAGCAGGCTGGATTCACTGACAGTATATGAAGCCAAGAAGCAGATTTTTAACATTAAAGAAACCTAGAAAATTCAGCATAATTTGTTCAGTTTCCCTGGTCCCTGAGTACACTACATGACTTCTTAACAGGCTGTCCACCAAAGCCAGGCATAAATGCTGCCTTCCCCTGTCAATTTGTTAAAGGCTGCACAGCCGAATGAGCACAGGGCGCTACCTCCAGAGGCAAATTCCACTGCTGGGGTGAGATAAGAGAAGGCACACTCCATTAACTATGGCCTTTGGGAGAGAGAGTACAGAATGATTTAAGAAAGGGTCCTGGGGCTGGAGAGATGGTTCAGTGGTTAAAGAGTAGTGGCTACTCTTCCAGAAGACCTGAGTTCAATTCCAAGCACCCACAAAGGCAGCTCATAACTCTTTCTGTAACTCTAGTTCTGGAGGATCCACCACCCTTTTCTGGCTTCTATGGGAACCCAGCATAAGCATAGTGTACAGACACATATGCAGGCAAAGTATCAGCACATCAGATGAAATACTAATCTAAAGTTAGAGGGCTGTGGAGAGGGAAGTGACTGCTGCACAAGCAGAAGGATCTAGGTTGGGATTTCCAGCACCCACATAGAAGCCAAGAGTGGTGACTATGTCTGTAACCCCAGCAATGGGAGTGCAGGCAGATGGTTCCCGGAGCTGGATAACCAGTCTTCCAGCCAAAAAGCAAGCTCCTGGTTCTGTGAGAAGACACTCACAAGCCTCAAAAGCTAAGGAGGACAGCAAAAGAAGGAAGCATGTAACATCAGTCCGGCCTCTACATATGACCAGCAACCCATACACACATGTGCACACCCCCACACACATGTGCATACCCCCACACACATGCACATAAATTTTAAAAAGAAAAAATATCTTAGAAAGGAAAATATCTGGTAAAAGGCAGAAAGGATGAGGACTGGGGAAATGCATGACTACAAAAGACAGGCATTCCCAGTCTCATAGATAAGGAAGCAACAGGGTTCCCACAGACTGTGGAACCCAGGCAAACTCCCTGTCTACCCATGCAATATGAAATTCCTACAAATACAGTACACAT